AGATATTCTATAGAGATTTTAATAATGTGTACACATTTTGTGTATTTTTTTGGGTTACGTACCAAGATTTCAATTACGATACGGGAAGTTCCAGCAATTTGCCTTAAGGCACGATGCGTACACCCCACTAGTTCTTTTTGAAATCCAACGGTTTTGAATTTTTCCGCTTTAGTCTAGTAAAAGAAATTCTAATGGATGGCAATACTACTGTCACGTAGGTACTTATGTAGGTTAGGAATTTCACCGACATGTGTTTGACGTGTTATAGTTTTTGCAATATACACATCACAAATTTTAAATAAATGAGATTCTTATAAATAATTTGTAGTACACTTTTTAAAATGATCATCAACAAGTTTTTATTTAGTTTTTATAGTATTAGTTTTAGACCAAACAAGCGCACATTTGTTAGAAGGCTTATATTGCGGTAAAGATAATTGTTACGAGATTCTCGGAGTTACTAGGTCATCTACTAAGTCAGAAATTCAAAAAGTTACAGGCAATTAGCTAGAAAATTCCATCCAGATTTACAAAAAGGTGAAGACAAAAAAGCAGAAGCTACAGAAAAGTTTAAAGCCATAGCTACAGCCTATGAAATTTTAAAAGATGAAGAAGCTAGAAGTGATTATGATTATATGTTAGACAATCCTTCTGAATATTATGCCCATTACTATCGATACTATAGAAGGCGTGTAGCACCCAAAGTAGATATACGAATCGTTTTAGCAGTCACTATAACTATTATTTCTGTTATTCAATATTATGGAGCTTGGCAAAGATACGAGACAGCTATAAGTTACTTTATGACTGTTCCTAAATATAGACATAAAGCCTTAGAACTAGCCAAGGTAAACAACGATGCTGCAGGAAAGAAAAAGACTAAAAATAAACAAGAACAAAAAGAAGAGCTAGAGAAGTTAATAAGAATGGTTATTGAAGATAATATGGATATTAAAGGTGCTTATGCAAAACCTGACCTTTGGAATATTCTCTGGGTTCAACTAATAATATCACCATACACAATCACAAAATATATTATCTGGTATACATCCTGGATTTGGAAATTCGATATCTTAAAAAGACCTTATGGAACTGAAGAAAAATTATATTTAATACGTAAAAATTTAAATTAGGAGAACATCAATTTAATGCCATTGAAGAACATACTAAAGAAGAATATTTAGAAGAGGAGTTATGGATAAAAGATAAATTATTGCTTGGAAAAAATACAAGAAGAAGAAATGAAAAAGAACTTAGCAGAAAATGCAAGAGCAAAAGCATATCGAAGATACATGAAAATCATGGTGTATCAAGAATGACATTTGATGATTCATAAATACAAAAGTATTATAAAGTTTTCTTAAATAGGGCTCCCACTGTTTGCAATAAAATTTGCTCATATGGCTCATATTCTATAATTACCTTGTTACTGATAATTCCTTAAGTAATAAGTAAGCTCTCTGTTATTGAATTTTTGCATCTTCATTTAAATCTACCCATATTTTTCATAACTTGGTGAGATATATTATTAGTCTTTCAAACTTGTTTATTACAACTTGTGACAACAACATATTAGCATTCTTTTATTGTAAATTGTGCATCCTAGAGCCTTGTGTTCAAGTTGTAAATGCCAAATAACACAGTTACTAAAATTCTTAGGCCACAATTTATTTATATATTTATTATATTATTTTTGTGTATGTTTGTTATAAAATATATTGAATGAAAATTCACATACCCTCTATATATTATTATTTGGGTTTACGATAACAGTATTTATGCAGATTTCGATAAGTTGTTCTTAAATTAAGTTTAGAAAGTATTGTTTCACGTTTATCATCATCCTGTTGTTGAAATTCGGGTTGGGGATTATTATCCATTATTTTAAAATGTTGTGGTTTATATTTGCGAGCTGTTGAAGATTTCGGTAACACATGATCAGGTGTATTTAAATTTGACATAATTTTTGGAACGTCTATGATGTCATCAATGGAAATATCACTGACTCTCTTGAAAGAATTGGAAGTATTGTGTGAAATTCTCTTTTTCACGTCTTGAGCTATTTCTGATTTTTTCACTGCAATTTGTAATTTGTTCGGTTTAGGTTCTTCTTCTATTTGTTTTTTCTCTGTGTCCATTATATCTTTTCCTCACAACTGTTTTCCAGTTTAGAATATCCATTTCTAGTTCTCTTTTCTGTTGTCTTGATAATGCTATAGCTGCTTTCAGTCTAATTTAGTACAAATGACTTGATAAGTGATATAAAATCATTAAAACAGAGTTGTAGAAAACAATATATTTTAAACGAAAATATCTCAAGCTATATTAGAAGTTCATATTGCTGTAGTATTTAATATCACATTTAATATTTTAGTTTTTAAATTGAAAGTACTAGGATTTTTAAATTAAATAAATTTGCTTTAGAAGGAAAATATATTTGGTAATAAGATGGATTGCTCAGTTTATAGAAAAATGATTGCCTCAATTGTGAAGATTAGACTCCAATGACATAATTCTTTTATAAAATATGTAAAACTTATTTCTAATACTTATATATATATATATATATATATATATATATATATATATATTATGTACAAATGACGCTTACCTTAATATTCTGATCCTTCATTGTACTCTTCTTCCAACTTCTCATTTTTATCATGAAGTTCTTTGATTTTAGTCTCACAATTATTTATTTCTGACAATGTATCTTCTAAAAGTTTCTTGAGTGTTTCATTTTCAGAAATAGCTAATTGTACAGCTTTAACTTCATTTACAATAAATACTTCTTCATTACCAGGTTTATGCGAAGACTTTTTGCAAAAATCCTCAATTATTGAAACACATCTACTAACTCCATAGTCTCTGCAAAAATTTCTGACATTGTCACAATGAAACTTGCGGTTATTTCGAATTAATTCACGATTATGTGTAACATATTTAGTTCCTTCATTTAAAACTTTGGTTTCTTCTGATATTAAATCTTGCAAAGTAGAATATTCTATAAATTTAATATCATTGGCAGATTTCTGTTCGGCTATAGCGATTTTTAATGATTCTACTTTTTTTATCTTTTCTTTGATTTCGTAATCCACTGTAATATTTGATGCTTTTGTGTTCAACATAATAAAGACTTTTAAGGTTATATTCGTCATTTTTTTTAAAACTAAATATTTGCGTTAAAATTGCAAACACACAACGCACACAACGTAAATTTTTCTTATTTGAAGTTTTATCTTTCTTTTGAGAACTTCACACTTGTTATCAAAGTGTGGCCAACCTAGAAAATAATATATTAATTATATTATATTTTAATATTTGAATTAATTTATATATTATTATATTTTATATATATTAATTTTTAGATTGCCATTATTTTACTATTAATTACCAATGATCAGATTCTTTAAAAAAATGAAATTTAATTGTTAAACCATAAAATATTTTATACATCTTTTATAGCATTAATCATTTTCAATCATTGTTCTATGGTAATCAAATATATTAATCTATTAATTAAAGTACATGTAAATTCTTCCCATGTATTTTAACAGTTGATACATAAAGATTTAAATAAATCTTTTGGTAGAAGAGGATTGTTTTTAAAACTAATTAAACATTCCAATTGTGTTTCCTCATATGTGATGTGAGTAATGATAGAATAGTATTATTTTATCTATATTTATTGTTCATATAAGTATAAGTACTTAATATACAATCTAAACTAAAATTTTATTCATCTTCTTTTTTTATCTTCACTGGCAAATCATCTCCACTGGCAATGTCATCATCTTGTGTTTCGTCTTTGCTGTTTTCATGTAATAAAACATATTCCCTAGAACTATATCCAAATTTTATAACATCCTTCTCTAAAAGCTCCACATATTTTTTAGGTTCAATTTTATTATTGTTAACATATGTGCCATTGGCAGATTCTAAGTCTATTAAATAAGGCCTTATTCGTTTTCCAGTAGATCCATCATCCCTTTGAAATGTAACTAATCTATATTGAAGAGCTGCATGTTGTTTGGAACAAGAAGGATGATCTACTGGCAAATCAACTACTTTACGATCACGACCAATGAGGTAACAACTTTGTCTGTGTATGTACAAAGTAGGCATTGCTGTTTCTCCTTTGAAGGGGTAAAAGCGCCAACGCCTTTTAGGTTTCTGGCTTCTGGAGGCTCAGCATACTTTATCACAACTCCGTTAAATGTGTTTACATCTTCAGTTAGTTTGCCAGAAAGACCAAAATTAGGTTGTTCTTTTTTTACTTCTTTGGTTCTGTTTTGATTTCATCCTTCTCTTTTTTCCCCATGAATATTCCTTATGTGAATCTCTCCTAGGGAAATGAAAGAAATTAAAGAATTGCTTGGCTACATATTAAAAAGCTAGTGCTCATCACTAGGTCTTTCATTAGCAGATTGGTTATGCTAATAGTAATCTTATGCAAACTTTTATAAACCATTTATATATTTTGAACTATAAATTAAAAAGCAAGCAATTTAAAATTACTATTAAATAAATTACTAACCTGTCGTCATCGTCGCATTTTCTACGATGATGCCTACTAGGTTTTCGTCTATCACCATGTTCATGTCTTCTTTTTCTTCTTGAATCCATTTTAATACGAAGATAAACTTACAAATTATATTTTAATCAAATGCACTTGCAAATAATAATAAAAAGATATAATAGGAAAAAGATTTTAGTTACAGATTTTAAGTAATTGTGTTTTGCGCCGAAGCACGCGTTTGCTGTAAACGTCAAACGTCAAATGAAAACTTAATGTAAATAAAATTTGTTTAAGTTAAGCATTCTAGATAATCAAAAATTAAAAATTATTTAAACGTTTTTCAGTTATTGAAATCTATGAATTTTGTGAGTTGCTTATTATTCTAAAAGAAAAATATATTAAAACTTGTTAAATAAATATAATCACCATACTAATCGATGACAGTTTGTTAATTAAAAAATAAAATATAGTTGGGTTATTTAGCTAGTAAGTTTTAAAATATTGTTAATATTAAGCTTATATATTTGATATTGAATTTAATTTTATTTAGTTTGAGGAATTATCTTTACAAACAGACATAGAGTTCTTCTTTTTATTTAAACTTCTTAGTGATGAATATTTTTCACTATATCAATTTATTATTTCTAAAATGAGATGTAGCAAAAAGGATATTTTCTACAGCACTTTTCATAAGATTGCACAATTCTTTGTTTTTGCCCTGTATTTTTGTGTTATTCCATTACTGATAAACATATTTTTAATTTCATTCTCTTTTTGTCGTAGGAAATTTGAATAAAAGGTTCTAAGGAAAAACTGTTCTACTTAAACATGCCATCTCCATCAACCACTCCAAAAATATTACAAATAACATTTGTTTAAGTTGATCTTTCTAGAAAATTGAAAAATCAAAAATTATATAAACGTTTTTCAGTTGTTGAAATCTATGAATTTTGTGAGACGCTTAATATTCTATCACAAAATATATATTAAAACTTAAACGTTAAATAAATATAATCAGCATGCTTTCGATGACAGTTTGTTAATCAAAAAATAAAATATAGTTGGGTTATTTAGTTAGTAAGTTTCAAAATGTTGTTAATCTTAAATTTCTATATTTGATATTGAATTTAATATCATTCTGCTTAAGGAATTACCTTTACAAGCACAATTATACATAGAGCCCTTCTTTAAACTTAGTTTTAAATTTCCTATTGATAAGAATATCAATTTATTATTCCTAAAATGAGATGTGGCAAAAAGGATATTTTCTACAGTACTTTCTGTAAGATTATACAATTCTTTATTTTTGCCCTGTATTTTTGTGTTTATTGATAAATCTGGACTAAAACATGTTTTTAATTTCTTTTTCTCTTTTTGTTGTAGGAAATTTGAACAAAAAATACTGTTCTACTTAAACATGCCATCTCCATCATCCGCTCCAAAAATATTACAAAGAGTCTCACCATTCATTGCTGTACTTTACTTGATGAATCGACATGATTCAATAGTGTTTTTAAAAAAATAAAACTTCTGTACAATAATCTTTTATAACTACTTGAGCATATAAAAAACTTATCTATTATGGATGCATCTCTTCTGAGAGAATGGGCTCCTGTGAATGATATTATTAGTAAAATTCCTTTACGATGGCTTCGTGGCATGTTCATTACTGATGTGTGTTTAACATGCATTGATGCAATAACAGAATATATAGCAATAGGAACGAATGCAGGATTTGCAATCTGGTATGATAGGAAAAAAGGAGATTTTATTAGATTAAAGTGCGAGGTAAAATAATCAAACTTTCAATATCTAATCAGATTTTAAGACAGACAAAACAAACTATTTTTTATTCCTATTCATATAATCTTTATTATTTCTTTTCAGGAACCCACAAATCGTATAACTGAGATTAAAGTTGTCTCTAGTGTTGAATATATGGTGGCATGTGGTGCTGATAATGGCCTTATTAGTGTTTTTTCTATTCCTAAAGAAATACCTGCTGACTTGGTACGAAATGAATTCAAAGCCAACCCTCCTGAAAGGTATATTATTTAAATTGCTAAAATTAAACAGAGACATGTATATGCATTAAATTTCTTTTTTAAGGTATTGTATAAGAGATCTACATACATCTTCAATAACTGCTTTAGAATGGTCTAAAAATGGAATGAAATTATTCTCAGGAGATAAATCCGGCTGTGTAGTTTTAACAGAAATAGATTTTTATATGGTAATATGATAATTCTGAATGTAAACAAATTAATTATAAAAACAATTCATAATATTGCTTAATTTTTAGCATATATGCAAATCTGTAGAACTAGTTAATGAATCTTATGAAATCGTTCAATTATGTTTTAATAATCCAAAACTTATAATTTCTACTTCATTTCGAACTATAATAACTGAACAAAAAACTTTAAAATGGGAAGTTTTACAAATTGGAAGGCAGGATAGGAAATGGTAATGTTTTGAATGATATAATTGTAAATTGTATTGTTTTAATAATTTGTTGTAATTATGATTTGCAGTTTATCGAAATTGGGTGCTACTTTCATTCCATCATCTTATTTAAAAGAACGGACAAGAATATATAATTGCAGACTTGGCCATAGATTATGGGTAGCAAAACTGGATGGCAGTGTCGATAAAACAATTTTATTTAAAGTACATCAATAACTACTCTTGATTATTATGTTATTATGCAAATAAGTTAATTTTTGCTTTCTTTGGTAGGATAAATTAAGGAAACCAAAATTTACTGTTCCTTTGTTGAATCCAAAACCAAAAAGTGGCAAAGATTGTCTTGCTCTTCAGCCAGAACTACCAAATTTTGGAATAATTAAACCTTATGGTCCTTATCTGCTGACTTATAATCAGCAAGTGATGTATTTATTAGATCCCAATGGACCTGAAGTTTTGGCCGTCTTGACAGAGTTTAGAGAGTAAGTTGTCTTATATAAATATATATATATATATATATATATATATAATTATAAATTTAATCTTTTATAGTATACTTTCTGTGTCCATAATCGATCATGAGATATTTATTCTTGAAGGGCCTAGAAGCCTTATCAGGATTTCTACAGCTCCTGATGATAATATAGTCAGAGCAGGTGAGTTACAAATTTTAGCTATACATAATTGCTGAGTGTTTTTCACAGATTTGAATTTTTTTTCTATTATATCATATATTTTTTTATGTGACCATATCTTATGTGATTATACAACCATTCTATGATCACATCTGTTTTGAATGTGAATGGACTACTTTCAGATAATAACATTGCGTCTATTTTAACCCCAAGTACAATTTTATCAAAATTAAATTCTAAACTCAAAACATTTAGTAAGCATTTAGAAGATAATGCCATTGATAGTGAAGAAGTAGTGAAAGCAGAAGAATGCATTGAATTACCACCAATAGAAAAACTGTCGTTTGATGAGTTGCCTCTATTAGAAGTAAAAGAGAATAGCCAAGACCACTTTTCTCAAAATTCATTGCATTATACTAAACTTTGCACATTCGACAAAATAAATAATTTGGACTATGATGAGAATATATTATACAAGTCAGAAATAAGAAAGAAAAGAAAAATCATACACTCTGAAGTGGAAAATTCTGCTGATGTAAAAACTTCCCTTGCCTCTAATAATATGTCAAAATCAGAAAGTAATTATCGCTCTAATGAACTTGAACCTTTAATTTTGAAAAAGAAGTTAGTATACACTTATTATCACCAATTAATTATATAATTTGCAACAAATTTCATATGTGAATCTTAAATTTTAGTTATACAATACCAGATCTAAGAAGTCCAACATCAATTTTAGAAGATATTAAATATAAAGAAAATAAGCTAGCAAAGTTATTGAATTTAGAAAAAATAACTATTCCCCAAAAACAAAACACTGGTAATGAAGATAGCGATAAGAAATTTTTAGAAGATTTTCAAAAAGTATTGCAACTACCCCGTACTAAATTAGATACTTTAGAAAATTGTAAAAGTTCCACAGAGGAAATATCTAATGGACATCATTTACACAGCACTGATGATAGTATGATAGATTCCCCTAAACAATCTAAGACAAATGATATTAATTTTAAGGCTGATGAAACAATAATCAGTGGAAAAACTCCAAATGAAGAGACTGATCATAAAAATCGAGTTGATGATGAAAGTTACATTAAAATTCCAAATGTGATAGATATTCCTGGTGGTTGGAATCTGGAAAACATTCATATATCATCTAATAATAATATAAATGATCTCGATAAAAGTGAGCCTTATGAATCTCTTAATACTAAAGAAAATGATTGGGAATTTCTTTGACAAAAACATCTGACTTATCTGAACTACTTAGATGACTGAATATGTTTTAAATGAGTAAGAAAAAGATTTTTTCCTATTTAAATTGTCAAGATTCATGCTCATTATTGCTATAAAAACGAATAATGGCTTAAAGGTAAGTTTTGATTTTATTAGTGTTATTGAAACTGTTTTAAATGAAATCTGTCCAATACATCTCGAATACGTCATAAAACTATCAGAATTGCCATTTTGCTAAGTAAGAATTATTTGTTCGTAGTAGTTCATCTATTGTACTACACAAATTATTACTTTATTTATTTATTTTTATTTAAAATATTGGAAAGTTATACATATATATTTTATACACGATTAAGAATGAAGTATAAAAAATAATTAGGTATTTAATACTTGGTATTAAATCACTGGCTTGGTTGTACTATTAAATATAGGAAAAAAAATGTATTATTTTCTAGTCTATAAATTTAATTAAAATTTTCTAATATTTCATAAAGCCATTTGATGCTGATTATTATAGAGCAAAAAATGTAAATTAAAAAGGTACACATGAGAAATATTTATCAATAATATAATAATATATATGACATAATAATATGTCTATATTTTTGCGTTTTATTTCCGGGGTTATTGAGAGATCATTATTTTAAGCCTTATATTTTTTATTCAAATTAGAAAAACATACATTTGACGAATGCAGTATAATCATATCTATAGCAAAGAGATATTCAAAGAATACCCTCTATGCACTTTTTGGCCATAACAATTTCTTTTATCTTATTAATTAATTCCAAAATGTATAAAAGTATATAAACTCTATAAACTCTATGAAAATATGTAAGATGATTTATAGAAGACAACAGTGATTGATTTCATTCCTATTTTTGATTGATAATAATTTTCATTCCTTCTGTACTTAACTCTTTCACAAAGGTTCTGTTTCACATTGGCCTTGCTCTATGCCAAATTCCAAAACATCGTCACCCAGTTTACAGCTGGCCCAAGCCATTCTTTTTGAATTGTGGTACACTCCTCGTTCACCCGTAGGACTTAAAACAATTGCTCCAGCTGTATTATTCAGACGCGTTTGCATTGAGTCAATGGAAATTTTAGCAGCTTCGTCTGGACTCATTCCTTGGCAAAGATGCATTCTCATGAGTATTGAATGGGCTAAACACACTTTTAGAATTGATTCACCATGCCCTGAAATTGAGAAAAAATTAGATATTTTCAATTTTTGTTTGGATCAAGATGGTTTTGGAATGTTGTCTAATTGGTTTATATGATGATGCTAAACATGATATAATATTTGGAAATACTTGTGCAAGAATACTAGGAATACTTGTGCTGAAGAGTATAGATTTCTATAAAGCACATACTTTGCCGTCGCTATAAAGAATCATCTAGTTACCTTTCTCTTTATCTAGAGATTTGTTCTCTAGACCGTTCAAGTCACTCTGAATCGCGTGACATCAACGTTAGAAAAAAGAATATGTGTTTTTGTATTTGAGCGAAAACTAGAACATTTGTTTCTGGAAAACGGCTGCAATGACTTCAAAAATTTAAAAGCCATTTGATGAAACTAAATAAGAACTAAATAACAACTAACCCATGGAATTGCATGGGTTGGTTGTTCGATATTATTGCGTTTTGTTACTAAAACTTATTGTGAATTAGGTAAACTTAGGTATTGTGCATAACATGTAACAATCATTAACTGTTCTTCCAATTAGCGCCAATTTCTCAATTATGATACAGTTCCATGCCATTAAAGTAAATTCTCGAAAAGTTCAATTTAGGATCAAATATTACTTAAGAAATTTCATACCAGTCGTAGAAACTGCGCCAAGTTTATTATCAGCATAAGTTCCGCTTCCCAATTGCGGCGTGTCGCCAACTCTTCCTCTATATTTGCCAGTTATACCACCAGTTGAAGTGGACGCAGTTAGGTTACCGTAACAGTCCAGGGCTACTGCTCCGACGGTGCCACCTTCTTTATTGAGCCTACCATGATAAATTATCACTTAGGTATTATATTTTTTATGTTGCTCAAACTAGAATACAAATTTTATGATCTTACGTGTCCAATTTCTATTTTACCAATACCCCCATTGTCTATAAAGTCTTGCAGCGCCTTCTTCGCCATTTCTGTAACCAAAGAACCTTCTGGCAGAATATCAAAACCCTGAAATGCACATTCAGATAATTAATAATAAGAAAATTTACATTTTAATATATCAACAATATCTATTTTACCTCCTTTTCGGCGAAGTGAGTAGCTCCTTCAGCACACAATAACACATGAGGAGTCTTTTCCATAACTTTTCTTGCTAATGATATAGGGTGAGCAATATTTTTTAAATATCCTACTGCTCCTGCCTGCAGTTTCTCACCATGCATCATACTTGCCGACATTTCTACGTTTCCTTCTATCGTCAAGACAGACCCATACCCTAGTAAAAAATAGAAAACAAAATTAAATAAATTATTGGTAGTTGAGTGATCGAGTAACCATTAGTCACAAGGATCTTTACACACAAATTGGAATATGTTCCTTTGAGATAACTTTACTTGAGATTACTAATTGTAAGTGTTGTTCTATCAGTAGCGATTTTGCGTAGAACAATTTGAGATTTTATCAGAAAAATAAAATAATTTGTAACAAAATTATTTCTCATCATTGACCATTCATATTCACCATTTTCCATACTTATAACAGTAAAACTCGTATAAATTGTCGAAAATTTTAAATTCTGGAAAACCTTATTAAAAACAATTTTAAACCATCAGTTCTCTATCGAGTTATGAAAAAGGTAATCACTTTGAAAATACGAGATTTCATCAGCAAAATAAAATGTAACAAATTATGATTCACCAGCATTGAAATTTTCATCATCCTCCATACTCCTGATGGCTGCTTCAGTTGCTTCTATTGAAGTCCCTCCATTTTTTAAGATCTCCAAAGCTATCCTAGCTGCCAATTTTACTCCTTTGAATTTTCCCGGAACTCTTTCATCAGGAATGTCTCCTGCTCCGCCATGGACCACTATGATGCATGGTTTATCTCCAGAACTCATATTGATATCCCAATCCTAATGATAACTATTAAAAAATAGTTTATTATCCCAAGAAAAAAGCAATTTGCAATAAAATATTTTTATTTGTGTAATAATCGATTTGAATTGTTGATATTTGATAGCGGCATGATTTTTTTACTGATTGTTTCTTGTTATCTTGACAATAAACAAGCATTGTGTTCGAAATGTTATCATCATTATATGATTATACTGACAATGGGTGAAATGTTTGCGGAAAATTATGAAATGTTTTAACCAGATATCGTGTTCATTCTTTTTTTCGTTATTGATATATATTTACAGTTAGTTAACAATAACTAATAATTAGTAAACCATTACTTAGTGAGAAGGTGAGAATATGATTTTTAGTTGAAATAGTTTTTAATGATCTTTATGAAATTTTATATTTTCCAAAGTTGTCTAGTCTAAACGAACATTTAAAGTTCGTTTTTGGGGGCGTCCATTAATCATGTGTGGTTTTTAGGGGGAGGGGAGGGGTTGACAAAAAATCACGAAATATCACATGGGGGAGGGAGGGGTATAGTATTTATTTTTTACCTGATTTAAAAAAAAATCCAAACATTTTCAAAAAAAGGTCCATTTTTTTCTCGTAACTAAAATTACACCTTTTGTTTGGTGTGGGAGAGGGTGGGTAATTAATGGACGCCCCTTATAGAAAAAAAGCTATTGGTGTACTGAGCACGTGTATGTTTTTTTTTCAATAACGTATATTATTTAAACTATTTATTAAAAATAATTAACAAGTTGGATTAATTTTCTAAAAATTTTAAGCGTCAGAATCCGATTCTGGTCGAGTTTCTGATGGTGTTTGTAAACAAATAGTTATTTTGTAACAAACATCGTCAAATCTATAATAATCTAATAACAACATTCAAACCCAACTAAAATAAATCAATGAATTAAAGTAATAATTTTAATTAACGACTTAATAATTTTACTTTGATGTTATCTCTATATTAATTGAAATTGGTAATTCCTATATTAAATAATATGCTATACTTGCTTCTTGATTACACCTGTGTGGTGTGAACCAGCACAATCACTATATATTAATATTACTATTTTATATTATTATGATTATTTTTTACAACATATTAGTTTTTTTTCAATTGCATTAATCAATTAATTGATTAATAATTATTAACAATTTTTAAATGTTTTGTGAACTGACAACTATGATAGCTACCATTGCAATGCCTCATAGAGAGTGCATTACACTCATAGGCGCAGCCCCACTACGCGACCACGTTTATCTTGTTCGGAAGAAAATAAGATAATTTCAATTAGAATTTATCTAAATCTCGTTAGAATCAAATGTTCTTAAACTGTGGATCGCTGCTGAAAGTCGAATCATGAAACTTTAAAAAAAAATCATACATATATTAATTTATGTATTCATGTTTTTAGCTGGATTAATTAATTATTGTTAAGCAACGGCATCAAAGATTTAGTTAATGAAAAAACTACTCGCTAGCTGAATTAATTGATTATTGTTTAGTATTTTAATAAAGTTTTTTTGTTAATTTTACAATTAGATTTTACAAATTACAAATAAATTAATGTAGATTTGCAAAATAGCTCTAAAAATAATTTAGTTTTGCAATCCCATTATTACATTTCATATGTATATATTTCATTAGTATTAAATTTGTACGAAAATCGTCATTTTATGCATTTTCGATTAAATAATAAATCGATTGATCTCCTATCCAATTTTTGTGAATTTTTACCATCAAGTTACCCTTAAAATTGCCCTCGATATACAAGGAAAATGCTCTTTATCCTCAAAATACAAAGAAACGACTGACTAACTAAGTGGTTTCCAAACTTTTTGCAACGCCTCCCCCAACCCACTCTCATAAAAAAATGTTGCAGCCTCCCTAATTTTTCCAACAATTTTATTTCTATCTTTACCATAGTATTAACTTTAAAATTACCTTCAAAATACAAAGAAAATGTTTTTTATCCTGCAAATACAAGGAAACGGCTGACTAACTCAGTGGTTCCCAACCTTTTTTGCAACGTTTACCCCAACCCGTTCTAATAAATAAAATAAAATTTTATAAATACTCAACTTATATTATCAGACTACAAGTGCAATATCATGTAAAGACATTGCAATATCATGTAAAGATATACATTAAAAATATTTATTTTTTCGTTCATTTCTTATATCATTTTTATATTTTTTATTTATTTTCGAAAATTGAATTTTGGAAACAACTATAAGCCCTCCTTGCAACAGCTTCGCGAGGAAACGCGCTTCACAGGTTGGGAACCACGGGACCAACTTGAGTTTTTCAATATAGTCATCAATGTTTTATTTGGTCTTAATAATTTAATGGTAAAAGGTTAATTTTCAAATTTTTACATGATTGTATAAACGTAAAAAAACATCATTTTAAAGTTTGTATTATTATTTAAAAAAAGGGACAGGATATTTCTAGAAAGGTCGAAAATATTTTAATAAAATTAAATAAATAATTTATTTATATGAAATTATTAAAATTGTTTGAAATTATCGAATTTATTTTTTAATAGAAATAATACGTTATTATGTGGAGAAACTTAAGTGATTAAACTGTGATAATTATTAGTTTTTGTTATTTAAATTAGATACTGCATTTAACATTTCTTAGTTTCTGAATAATACCCTTGACTAATGTGTTTTAAACACATTAGTCAAAGGTATTATTGTGTTTATATCGCATTTTATTTTTATTTTCTTTATCGTTATTGCTCACACAGAAATTATAAATAAACTAGTTGGTTTGGTATTTAGCCTTGAGGCAAATTACATGAACTTCCCGATATGTGTAAATAATCGACTTAATCAAAAAAAAGTGTAAATAATATACTTCATCAATCCTACTTTAAAAAAAAACGATAATAATTTTAGCAAAGTTTGACGAATTTTTAAAATTAAACTACTTGTTGTAAGGCCGTAATATTACAGTAAGTTCTATAAGACCATGATGTATATCGCCAAAAAAAGTTCCATGAAAAAAGGCTTAAATTTTTTTTTAACAGTTAATTACAAGAAAACGGCTCGGTAGATTTTCACCTAAAATTAATCAGTATCATTCCCAACCAATATCTTTCGAACAGTTTTTGATTTTTTAAAATCGGTTCGGTAGAATGAGCTTAAATGTGGACGAAAATTTAACACTATTTTTCAATAGTTAATTACAAGAAAACCGCTCGGTAGATTTTCATCTAAAATTAATCAGTATCATTCCCAACCAATATCTTTCGAACAGTTTTTGATTTTTTAAAATCGGTTCGGTAGGATGAGCTTAAATGTGGACGAAAAGTTCAACACTTTTTTTCAAATTACAAAAACGGCTTGGCAGATCGTTGCACAAAACTGACAAACGATAGTCCTCACCGAAATACATCAAATGGCTTTTAAATTTCTAAAATCGGTTCAGGCGTTTTTGAGAAAACGTCGAACAAAAGTCTAATTTTGACAAATGCCAAAAAGACCATACTGATTTTTGCAAACTTTGACGAATTTTTAAAGCTGGACCAGTTGTCGTAGGGCCGTAATATTTTAGTATGATCTAGAAGACTATGGTATCTATCGTCAAAAAAATAATCATAAAAATCGTCGAAATTTTTTTTTTAAAAACTTTATTACAAGAAAACGGCCCGGCCGATCTCTACCAAAAACTAATCAGCACGATTCCCAACCAATATCTTTCGAACGGTTTTTGAATTTTCAAAATCGATTCATAACTGCGGGCTAAAACGTGGACGAAAGAGTTTTCACTTCTCTGCTATTTACGAAGAAACGGTTTGGCCGATCGTCGCACAAAACTGACAAACAATAGTCCTCATCGAGATACATCGAATGGCTTTTAAATTTTTGAAATCGGTCCAGCCGTTTTTGAGAAAACGGCGATTTACGGCAAAAAATCTGTTGGTGCACACGCGCACACACACACACACACACACACACACACACACACACACACATACTTTTTCCAAATTTGTTCTCATTCGATTCAGAATGGCTTGAAACGTCGAGAAAACATAAAATTAGCGAATCGGATTTTTTGATGAAAACATAAACTTCTCCTTCGGGAAGTTAATATAAATATAAATATAAATATAAATATAAATATAAATATAAATATAAATATAAATATAAATATAAATATAAATATAAATATAAATATAAATATAAATATAAATATAAATATAAATATAAATATAAACTAGTTGAAGGTGCATTTAGCCTGAAGGCAAGTTGCATGAACTTCCCGAAATGTGTAAATAGTATACTTAATCGATCCAATTTTAGAATAAGCAACTTGATCTGCCTTTAACAATATTTTTTTATTTTATAATTATTAAGAAATTTATATTTATCACTATCATTGATTATAAAAAAAAATATTTTTTATTCTTTTTTATTATTATTAATATAATAATCTGAATACATAAGTGGTTCTCATTGTGACAAAATTGTATCGACGCATACGATTATTTTTCCAAATTGTAGAAAACGATGATAATTATTATAACTTGATTAAAGTAAAGAATTTCTTGGTCATTTCACGACCTTGGAGACGAAGTATATTTTCTAGGCAGAGGCTTCATATGTTTTTGATTTTTCAAAATCGGTTCGGTAGGATGAGCTTAAATGTGGACGAAAATTTAACACTTTTTTTCAACAGTTAATTACAAGAAAATGGCTCGGTAGATTTTCACCTAAAATTAATCAGTACCATTCCCAACTAATATCTTTCGAACAGTTTTTGATTTTTCAAAATCGGTTCGGTAGGATGAGCTTAAATGTGGACGAAAATTTAACACTTTTTTTCAACAGTTAATTACAAGAAAACGGCTCGGTAGATTTTCACCTAAAATTAATCAGCATCATTCCCAACTAATATCTTTCGAACAGTTTTTGATTTTTCAAAATCGGTTCGGTAGGATGAGCTTAAATGTGGACGAAAATTTAACACTTTTTTTCAACAGTTAATTACAAGAAAACGGCTCGGTAGATTTTCACCTAAAATTAATCAGCATCATTCCCAACTAATATCTTTCGAACAGTTTTTGATTTTTCAAAATCGGTTCGGTAGGATGAGCTTAAATGTGGACGAAAATTTAACACTTTTTTTCAACAGTTAATTACAAGAAAACGGCTCGGTAGATTTTCACCTAAAATTAATCAGCACCATTCCCAACTAATATCTTTCGAACAGTTTTTGATTTTTTAAAATCGTTCGGTAGGATGAGCTTAAATGTGGACGAAAAGTTTTTTTCAAATTACAAAGAAACGGCTTGGCAGATCGTTGCACAAAACTGACAAACGATAGTCCTCACCGAAATACATCAAATGGCTTTTAAATTTCTAAAATCGGTTCAGGCGTTTTTGAGAAAACGTCGATCAAAAGTCTAATTTTGACAAATGCCAAAAAGACCATACTGATTTTTGCAAACTTTGACGAATTTTTAAAGCTAAACCAGTTGTCGTAGGGCCGTAATATTTTAGTATGACCTAGAAAACTATGGTATCTATCGTCAAAAAAATAATCATAAAAATCGTCGAAATTTTTTTTTTTAAACTTTATTACAAGAAAACGGCCCGGCCGATCTTTACCAAAAACTAATCAGCACGATTCCCAACCAATATCTATCGAACGGTTTTGAATTTTCAGAATCGATTCAGAGTTGCGGGCTAAAACGTGGACGAAAAATTTTTCACTTTTCTGCAATTTACAAAGAAACGGCCCGGCCGTTCGCCGCACAAAACTCAGAGACGATAGTCCTCATCGAGATACATCAAATGGCTTTTAAATTTTTGAAATCGGTCCAGCCGTTTTGGAGAAAACGTCGATTTACGGCAAAAAATCTGTTCACACACACACACACACACACATACACACACACACACACACACACACACACACACACACACATACTTTTTCCAAATTTGGTCTCATTCGATTCAGAATGGCTTGAAACGTCCAGAAAACATAAAATTAGCGATTCGGATTTTTTGATGAAAACATAAACTTCTCCTTCGGGAAGTTAATAACAAAGAACTTTGCTTAAACATTGATTATATTGCCGAAATAGGTTGAACACGTGCATTATAAACATTATTATTCATACTCCTATTGTTTTCAAATTTACATTAAATAATGAGCGATATACGTCATATTATAGAATGAATCATCTCACTAATATTTATAAATTAGTATAGTTGTTTGAGATATATTCACTATTTAATTTTTCTTTTCAATAACAATATTAACTTGTTGACATGCGTTGATTATAATTTCACATACAAATACTATCGAACTGGCTAGTAGACCGACCACTAAAACTACAAAAGCTCCTGCAAAAATATGAAATAATAATATATAAAATTAATTTCCAAACTGAAAATTACATAATAAAAAAAGTACCTCCAAGGTGCTCGGTGCTGAGCTTTAATTCTGTCTCTTCTTGATCATTGAGAAAACCATCCACTAGAATAAAAATATATATATAAGAGTTATATATGAAATATTAAAATTATTAACTACTTTAATCAAAAAAAAATTAATATTCCACAATCTTCAAAAAAAAAACTAATATCAATATTTTGAGTTTGATTGCTATATTTCTTTTGTGCTGTATTACCTCTCGAATAGATTCCATTATCCTTTTCAAGTTTCCTGATAATGCCATTTTCAGTTAAATTTCTGATCGCTAAATTGAACATATCCAATAAGTGATAGTCTTTCCTAACTAACATCACTACGTTGTATTCATATAAATTTTCTGATTCAGAAAATATATGGATTGGGAGTGCTTGACCAGCTTAAAAATACTTGAATGTTATAAATATCGCTAATGTTAAGAAATTTGTTATTGTTTTAAGAACCTTGTGAATATCTGAGAAGAAAGTCCAAAACCTGAACTCTGGAGATTGCTAGAGATTTATCTAATTTACCAAATGCGATTTCATGAAAACATTTTTCCATGTTTTTACAAATTTCAAACTGTTCAGATTTCCTTCCGCTTAGTTGAGATATTCTCCAATATTCAGCTATGCCGCCTTGAAAAGGAATATAAAATATAAAATTGGAATATAAAAGGATTCCAAAATAATCGTGTCATATTATAAATGTAATTTTTTACCTCTCATTATGATGTTGGAGTCAAACAATTCTTTAGAAGTCGACATGTGCGTTGGTTCTACAGGATTTGTCAAAGCACTTATGAGCATGCTATGATATCCAGTACAAAAGTGTAAACCAAAAACGAAACAAGCTGCCAATATTATGCGGATGGTTGCAGTATTTGTACTTATTGATTTATCAGAAGCTAAACATTAAAATCAAGGATAAAATTAGAAAGATTTCTAATCAAATAAATATATTTCCCCTTACTACCTGGTAATCCCATTATGGCACTCAAAACCATGGTGCCAACAGCAGACAATCGTGCATCAACAGGATGCACCACTTTATAGAACCAGTACAATACTCCTGTCAATCCCAACCATAGGCCAAAAGTTGAACTCCAAACATTTCTGGAATAAACTGCAAAAACTTTTCGCCATTTTTCGCCAGCGATAGAAGTTTTTACAGCCCAAGTGACATCATCTCTCATATAGGACACCGTGGCCCCAAAATGATGACGAGTACGAGAGTTTTCGAACATTCCGCCAATAAGGATATCTGATTTCTTGTTTTCGTATGTTAGATTGGCGTAGAAAGGACTCATTGTACCTAGATGGATAATAGAATACTTGGTTCTAGTTATGATTAACATTATTGGATGATTGTTGAAACATTTGAATGTTAATTACCATTGTCATATATCCCAATAAGAGATCTGCTTTCTGGTGAAATATTTATCACTGGTTTAAAATTGTGCATTTTACCGATCAAGTTAAGTAGTTGAACTTCTACGCCTTTGGATGAAGACGTACTGTCTACAAATGGTCTCGTAGCAACAGCTCCAACATTTATCTGTGTCGGGAAAATAATAAATTATTATTCCATAATATATAATTCACTGGTTTATTATAATCCAAATATATTTGTTTGAATATTTGTTTCACTAACCGGACATCCTAACAGATCCTTAGGAAACTTTGATTCTTTGGATGAGTCTGCGTGAGGAATGACAAATATTCCTTTACATTCATCCACTAACTTTACAGCTTTAATAGAGCCACAAGCATCATTTTCATAAGGTATCCATGAATATATCAAAAATTTTGGCTGTTCTAAATCTGGTTCTGCACCCACCATAACATCATATACCCCTAAAAATTACAATAAATTTTATAAACTATGTAGCGTTTAGCATAAATCCATAAATCCAGCCAAAGGTTAGATTATAACAGTGTTTAATGAAAAATAATTTCACATAATTAGTATAAATCTACAGTTTTAATTGTAAAAATATTTTATATTTTCGAAAAAGACTCGTGCTTGATTTTTTACGATTTCGGGAGTTGGTGACTCAAAATATGTTGATGGTCTACGCTCTTTAGATTATTCACCATTTTTTAAAAACATTTCAAAGATAGGCTTCATCATCTTCTTCAGCGTTCTGCAATAAAGTAACCAAAACGCTTGATTTAAAAATAATTGTTATATTCTAATTAATATTTATAACTTGTATTAATAATATACCTGATATCTCTTTTTCCTAACATGAGTATCATGAATCTCGCAACTCGACTCCAAGTTGATAAACTTTCAAGTTGACTAATTTGAGCTTTCAATTCCTCTATCTCATATGCAAAAAGAATACAATATTTTGCCCTAACATAATTAAAATTGGCTTAAAATTTATTTCAAAATTCATTATTTATTATTAGTTGATACCTGACTGTAGCATGATCGTGTTTCTCGTGCTTGTGGTTCCATTGCTTTACCATTAGGGAAACTCTTAGGTCTGTTACAACAAATATTGTGCTCAAAATTCTTTGCTGAATGAAAAGATTTTGAAGCAATTGTAGACAGATCTATTATCATTAAATATAAAATAATTCACGCATAATAAAATTTAGAAACCATACCTGAAAATCACTTTTGACTGGATTAGCACTGAATACTATCAAGTTTCCTAAAACCATATGTTTCCCTGGAGTGGAGTACTTTTCGCAAATGCGCCAAAAGCAGGGCATCAATGTGACACTATTTGGAGGGTATCTATCTACGCCACTGGTTCCACTTGTTGGGGGTTGTAGGAACAACATTATTGTTGTAGCATTTAAAATCATGATGAGCCAAATATGGAATTTTAAATCATATAACAAATATTAAGAAGTAAAATGATAAAGAGCACTCTTTTAAAAACAAATACTGATGCACCTGTAAGCTTAGTAATAAATGTTTGGAATTATCCATTTATTTATCCGGATATCAGTAGTTAATATCAATTTGCTTGTTCTTGTAATTTGGTTTTAGATGATCCCTGATATATTAAATTAAATATTTTTGTTTGAACTGATTGCTCGGTAGCGGACTAATGATAATTTAATGATCAGAATTGCAGTTGAGGCTATTTGCATTTGGTTCCAAATTAGACCTCTATGTAAATATAATTTTGTACAGATTCTGTTATCGGTTAAATCGGTTTTAATAATTCTATAGTAAATTAATATAAAAGTATTAAAAATCTATTAAGTCTATTTATTTATTTATAAAATATTTTTTTAAATATTTTTATTGTTAAATTAAAGACAATAAGTAGTTCAAAAAGGTGATTTCAAAATTCTATATAAAAATTTTCTGAAAAAAAATCATTCAAGATTATTAATGATAACCATAAATATTATATTATATATTTATAATATTGCACATATTTTATGTCATTTTGTTGGGTTTCTGGGTGTTCCAGAAACTAGTTCTATTTTGCTGACAATAAAATTCACCCGCTCTAACATGCGGTCTATTGAGCCTTCCAGAGCACTTACTCTGTTTTCCAACCTACATTAAAAACATTTTTTAGCATTTTTTTTAGTTTCTGAAACAAATTTTATTATAAATTTATAAATATTTTACTTGCCCTTTGAACTCTTTTGAATTCACTATGTCCAGCGTGCTCTTTCTGCTGCGTATCTGGTCTTCTAAAATGCACAGATAATACAAAATTAAAATTCATAGTATTTCATCACTGCTAATATATTATATATTATATCATTTCTATAATGATAAGATTTTTTATGTTTTTTATAAGATTTTAATCGTATTTTGTCAAAATTGTTTTGTTTAATAAAACGTACACGAGTCACACCTGATTGGCGATTTTCTTGATTTCTTCCTTGAAGATAATCTAGGATTTTTTGTTTTTCATTTTCATCAATACGTCGTTCTCCGTTAATATCGTATTTTGCAAAAAACATTTCAATCTCTAAATCATTGAAATTGCAACTAGAAATAAACAGTACTATTCTTTGAACTTGAATTATACCAAATCCTTACTTTTAAGCCAAATCATTACTATGTATATTATTGGTTGCCAAACTATTATAATTAACTATATTTCATATAGAATTTTATAATTATTGAATTTCAATATATTAATACTACTAACAATATTGTTCAAAATATTTTCTTACAGTTCTAACGTTTTCCTGATTTGTGCATAAACATCAGCCTGCCTCTGCTTTGGTGTATTGGGCGATGAATTAGGTTCATTATTTTCTCTTCTCGTTTGTGTTAAATCATTTTTTTCATTTTTGTCCTTTTTATCTTTCATAAAAAGTCGGTTATAAATACGAGCTCCTCTACGTTTGATAAAAGTATGTACATCTTCGCCTTTTCCTGAACTCTCAATCTCACGTTTTACTTCTGAATAGGTATCAGTCACAATCGCCAAAAACATATTCTAGATAGATAAAATAATAAATTAAAATGATGGTTGAAAACTTCTTTTTAAATTGTTTGAAAACCAATAATTGATAATGAATTTATTCGAATATTATAATTATTAAGAGGGCTAATTTAAAAATTTGCTGATATTTATATTACTTACTAGTAAAACAAAGAAGACAAAGAATATATACGATAAAAAATATATTGGTCCCAAAACTCTGTTTGCTTGTTCGATTTCGTGATAATCAAATTCGCCCAAAATTGTCGTGAGAAGCGTAACGACGGCTGCACCAAAGGTTCGATATCCCTGGGCCTTAATAATATAATATTATTAATACATAAATTTCCTTTTTATAAATTTTATTATAAAAATGCACCTGTGTTCCGAATAGTAAATAGCCAAGCTGTGCAAACGCGAAAAACACAATAAAGAACATAACAGCAAAACCTGCAATATCTTTTACACACTAAAAATAAAAAAAATTAGTTATTATAAAAAATAAGCATAATATAATTGAGTTTTTTTTTTAAAAAAAAAAGGTTTATTACTGTACCCGTTTCAATGTACTTTTTAATTGTCGCATAGTTTTATTAAAACTGAGGAATTTTAACACTTTTAACCAGATGAAGAAAAACAAACAGCCATCACATTATTATATTGCCTCTAAAAAAACAGCAAAATGGTAGTATAGATTGAAATCGATTTTAATATATTATTAATATATTTAAAATTATATTTTGATTATTAAAATTTTATAAACGTACTTGCCAGAAGCTGATGTATTCCATATTAATGTATTTATCATCCGATAAGTTTTCCAATTTTTTTTTCATTAAAAAGTATCTATAAATGGTAGATATGATGCAAATATAAGAGAGCTGGAAGAAGTTGTTATCATTATAGAAATATATACACAAAGCAATACGTACATATTTTGACAACAAATTTCTACAAGATGAACAATTCATTAAAAATCTATCATTTATAAAAATGCAATGGTGCAAGAGAGAATAAGAATATAATCTGATTATTTCACCATAATGATTGTCCATTCCATATAGTTCCAAAGCTCTCTGAAATATTCACGGAAACCATTCAAAGCCAATTCATAAATTTCTGCTGCAGTATAGTATATAATAAATATTACAAATACAAATTGCCAAAACAGTATGACATAATCTGATTTTGTAATATAAGGAATCAGACGTACTGATTGGAAATGAGCTGAGGGCAATATTCCACCAGTTGGCGGAAACTCAAAAACTATTCTGAAAAAGCAATAACTAGTTAGAATATGATTAGAAACTTAAATTTTCGAATTTAACAATGCATTTGCTGGCAGAGTTGTATAATTATTCACTTAAGTGATCAAGTTATGTCTAAATAATATATAATCAGTAATGTAAACTAATAAGCTAAGATTATTGTTAAAACACTTAGTTAATAATGAATAAATAGGTGTTTGCACAACTCTTCTAGTCATTTAGTTTACATTACTGACTTTATACAAATTATTTCAAAACTTGCAAGATTCTTTATAGAAAGATACTAATATGCACAATATTATTGCTGGCTTTATTTTTTGTTTATTATCTCTCTTTCTTATTTTTTTTAAAATATGCCAGGTTTTATATAATATATTCCTTACGAGCACAATGTCTAATAAAATATATTAGGTATTATAATTTCTTACTTTGCAATGCAGAACAAATTCACATTCGGGTTATAAGTTGTAAAATCAATGAACACAACTCTAGTTCCTCTTCCAATCCATTTATTTTCTTTTAAGTCTAATATTATTTCTTTGTATTTTTCTTCCTGGTCCTGTGGTAGATCTACAAAATAACCTCCTCCGGTGTATAATGATCCTCCAGAAATATGACCCCAATAAACTGCACCCTTTAAATTTGACGATGTGGTGTACCACCATCTAATAAAATTAGAAACATTTAATAATTATTATTATATGAAACAAAAGATATTTTACAGACAATATAATATACATTTCTATAGTATGCAAATCAATTGTAAAAAGTATATCTAAAATAGAAGAGAAGATAATTTGCATAAAATAATGAAAACATATAGATTAAATATAAATTTAATAAAAAAATATATATTTAATCTTGACTTTTACTCACGCTGAACTGTTTCCGGGGCCAAAATTTTGATTGAATTCGTTTTCGGAGTCGAAAAATCCATAGCATTCAGCAAATTGGCGTCGGAAATCATCATGTACCTACAAATTCCATAATTAGAGTTATATTCTAAAATAAATATTATTATTGGTTCAAATCAAAATTATTTTTCAAAAACTTTTTAAAATAGTTTGTGGTTTATTACACAAATTTATTATTTATGCATTGCCTGCAATTTTTTTTAGAAAATAGATCAAATGTATTCTATACATAATGAGTATATATTCTGCATACCCTATTTTTATCAATATATAGGGTCCAACTAGCTTTTTTTGAAAAATTTCTTAAAAAATCTTCTGAATATTTTGCCAATTTTCTTTTTGTTTGAAAATTCTATTAAAAACCCCTAAATATTTTCACTTTTTTATTTGAAAGTAAAATGTAAAGAGTGCAGAGTACACAGTAGGGTTGCTTAAGTCGTACCCCCTAAAAAAAAGTTATTTAGCGGACCCTATATTATTATTATTGTAACTTGTATTGGAAAATAAGAAAGTAGAGGAATAAAGTATATGTTAGATTTTTGGATATATATATATATATATATATAATATATATATCACATGTGTATTAATAAAAAAAAATTCAACCTGGCAACTGTTATTTCTAACACGAAGTTGCCTCATTCTTACGCGTCCCAGTAAAAAAAATTCTTTCAAAACTGCACCATTATTGCCAGGAGATGTTCTATAATAATCCTCAATCATGAACCGGACTTCTTCAGAAAATTCTGTCGTTTTATCCTGGTGCAAATCCAATATCTCCAATGCGTTTGTTCTGTATAGAGACTCCGGAAAGGAAGATTCCAAATACTATCAGAAAATATCGAGTAATTAACATTGATTTATACCTTTATGTAAGGTAAAATATATTGATATAAATTACAAATTCAAGATATTTGTTAGTTTGGATGATTTATTAATAGTGCAGTAAATGGAGAGCAAAATAGGGTGTAACCTCTGAA